AGATTTGGCTTTTTGTTTTTTCACTTTTTTGTGTCATACCAAAACAAACAAAAGAAATAAACATGAGAATGCCTAAACATTTGTAAATGCAACAATTTTCTGGTCAAGTGGTGCATAATCTGACCAAGAAGCAGGGGTGCTAATATTTTTGGCCATGCCTGTACGTACCTTTCAATTACCTCAGAATAAGTATTTTTACATCATATGCTTAGCACAAGCATACAAAAGTTTGCGACAGATTTTCTTTACAAAAGGTTTTTGATAGATAGATAGATAGACAGATAGATAGATAGAAGTCTTAACTTCCTCTATTGGTCGGAACAGAAACAAGCCCCTGAAAAGCAGTACATCATTTGCTAGCATTAGAGATGAGCTTGTAAGCCTCCTAGCCAGATTTGGAAATGGCATTACTTTATATGTAGTGGACTGCTAGATGCTAAGTTGCTTGTGCAATGTATTTATCTGCAGTGCAGGTGTTACCTAAAACTACTAATTAGATATACATGCATAAGGCCTTACAGTCGCCTCTAAAAGGCAATGGAAACTAATCCACAAAGACAAATCAGTGAGCACCAGGAAAAGGTGGAACTAAAGTCAATTTCCTATTCTGGATCCGCTAAAGGTGTCTGTGAAGATGCAAGAAGTTTCCTGAGCCCTAAACATTGATTCAGCTATGACCCAAATGTGTCTTATACAACCAATATATTTGAAATACACACATGAACTCTTTTTTTCCCCAACCTACAGTTGTGACCAAAATTATTCAACCCCCAATGCTGTAAAGGGGTTTAGGGGACTATAGTGTACATTTGGAATTGTATTCAGAATCAAATCCTACAAGGACGTTGTAACTTGCAACTAAAATGACATCAATTGTTTATGTAATACAGTAGTAAATGGTTCTTATGTGGTTTCTTCATTGCCACAATTATTCAACCCCTTAAAGACTACCACTCTGAAGAACAGAGGGTTCATACAGGTGCTTTCCATCAGGTATTGAAAACACCTGTGGATGTCACCGAGCAGCAATCAAGCATAATAAGCACCAATTAGGCAGCTTTAAAATGACTGTGATACTCAGCTCCTTCTAGACATTTACTGGTGTGGTTACAAACATGGTGAAGGCAAGAGAATGGTCCAGGAAGACAAGAGAGAGGTGATTTCTCTTCACAGGAAGGGCAATGGCTATAAGAAGATTGCAAAGATGTTAAACATACAAGAGACACCTTAGGAAGCATCATTCGCAAATTCAAGGCAAAGGGCACTGTTGAAACGCTATACCTGGTCGTGGCAGAAAGAAGATGCTGACTTCGACTGCTGTGCGCTACCTGAAGCGTAGAGTGGAGAGAAGTCCCCGTGTGACTGCTGAGGAACTGAGAAAAGATTTGTCAGATGTGGGTACAGAAGTTTCAGCCCAGACAATAAGACGCACACTGCGTAATGAAGGCCTCCGTGCCAGAACTCCCAGGCGTACCCCCTTGCTGTCTCCAAAGCATAAGAAGAGTCGACTGCAGTATGCCAAAAGCCATGTGGACAAACCACAAAAGTTGTGGGATAGTGTTCTGTGGACTGATGAAACAAAATTAGAACTGTTTGGGCCCATGGATCAACGCTATGTTTGGAGGAGGAAGAACAAGGCCTATGATGAAAAGAACACCTTGCCTACTGTGAAGCATGGTGGAGGGTCAATCATGCTTTGGGGCTGTTTTGCTTCTGCAGGTACAGGGAAGCTTCAGCGTGTGCAAGGTACCATGAATTCTCTTCAGTACCAGGAGATATTGGATGGAAACGTGATGCAGTCCGTCACACACCTGAGGCTTGGGAGACGTTGGACCTTTCAACAGGACAATGATCCCAAGCATACCTCCAAGTCCACTAGAGCATGGTTGCAGAGGAAAGGCTGGAACATTTTGGAGTGGCCATCGCAGTCACCAGACTTAAATCCGATTGAGAACCTCTGGTGGGACTTAAAGAAAGCAGTTGCAGTGCGCAAGCCTAAGAATGTGACTGAACTGGAGGCCTTTGCCCATGAAGAATGGGCGAAGATACCCGTGAGATCCCAAGACACTTGTGTCAAGCTATGCTTCACGTTTAAAAGCTGTTATAACTGTAAAAGGATGCTGTACTAAGTACTAAAGATTTGTCACTTGGGGGTTGAATAAAACTGATAATGCTGTGAGCACAGAAAAGACATTTGTGGTTATTTCATTATAACTGTTATGTTATATTTGTCTGACCTACAACTCTTTAATGTAAATGTAAGCAAGATGACTGAATGATCAAAAGCAATGTCAAACTGGCCAAAAACACTCAATTTCAGTGGGGGTTGAATAATTTTGGTCACAACTGTAAATATTTGTAACTCTGCGCAAACACTCTTGTGGTTCAGACAACTTAGTGGCATTGAGTGACACCATTGTATACGAATACATCTTTTCCTGTGTTATGTCCTTACCTCCTACCTTCTCTGGACAAAGATTGAGCATCACATTAATGAGGTCCCCTGTGTTGCCCATCCAGTAAGCCGCCAACACACCTAGTCCTGCACCAATAAACTTGTGTGCAATGCAATGGACTCATGCTGGCTCACATGGCAGAATTTCCTAATCTCACCTTTCTTTCCTGGTTGTGTAGATGATAGGTCGTTAAACTTTCAGTATTCAAATTAAACATAGCAGTTGCGGAACAAATGGTGCTTACTTTTCATTTGACTGGAGTTCTGCATACAATCACTAATGTGTTAAAGCAAACTTGTTCTTTTCCTGCACCAGTTCACTTTAACACTCACATTACAAACAGAAACAAATGGGAGGTTTCAAATGCACATAAAGGATTGTAATCATTTATTCAATGGTGTGATTCACATTGAGCGTTTACCTACATTTAGGTGCAGTCAGGTTAGCTGCATCTAGAGAGAACAGAATTCTGCGTGTCCATCATGGATCTGATTAAAAATTGTAATAGCGGCGAAACCAGCTTTAAAGCAGAAACTACTAATTGCAGGAAAAAGTGATCTGGGAGGCATAATAGTTTTTTTTACATTTTTCAGATTGCGTATCCTGTGCTTTGAAAAGCTAAAAGCAGGGGAGTCAGTGTGAATGAGGCCTAAATCTGAATAAAACATGTTTTCTTGTAGGAAGACCATTACCTTGTCTGTGCAGTAGATCTGTGTCAACGTGAATATAAGTTAAGTTTGTGTCTGTATTATGGGCCTACCCTGTTTATTGAGCACCCAGCCCAGATATTAGGTAGGTGGTAACATTCTAGCTGCACACACATTTCAGCTGTTTGTATATCAATTAGTAGCTGGTCCACACTTCAAACATCATGTAAACAAGATTAGGGGAAAGACACACTGCAAGCTTGGCTTTATATAAAAGCAAATCTATAGTCACAGCAAACACCTTCATTTTAGAACACTGTATTGTAATACCAAAACAAACAATAGTGGATTTTGGCAATCCAAGATAAGCTTGCATGAAAAACTCTTTCATGTTGTGGTTTCTGCCTGTCTGTTGGTCATCTTTTTCTACAACTTCATGGATTCCCTGCATGCTTTACAGATTCTCCTCTGCTGTTAACTAATACCCCATGGTACCTTGCTGCAGTAAGCAGTGAAACCTGTACTCCATCTCCTGAAACTTCTCTCAATGTCTCTGTAGTTCACAAGGCAGGCTCTGTAAATTCTGTGCCACAATAGCACATACCCACACAGTAAATACATGTCACAGAATTCAAGTACGTTTGCAAACTTCAAGACCATTAAGATTAATAGGTGTAAGCTAGAAATAATTGAAATTAATTATGTTCACTTCTAGATTGATTTATTTTGATAATAGATATGCTTTAAGCTGGCCATACACTGCTCCAAGTTGGCACCCCCCGAGCTCTCCAATTGGATGCACTTTCTGGTTATTCAAGTGGCTGTTGAGGCTGTCTGAATACAATGACTGGAAGGGAAGATTTGCTCTGGTCCACTGGAGCTAGCTGCTCATTTTTGTGCCCTCTGCCGATGATGATGATTATTATTATTATATCTGAGTTTGGAAATTTTGACAGTTACAGCAGACATACTTGGTCTGAATCTTTCTACCACCTAGATACAAATAATTCACAGAACTTTGTGAATGAGTGACACGGCTGTGTGGGTGGAGCCCCGCATGGCCTGCGCTGTTTTCAAATCTGACAGTGCGGGGAAACTTCTCTCCGTACTGTCAGAGGGAGGGGGACGGCGGGAGCGGCTGCGGCTCTGGGAACATGTTCCACCCTAAAAACGGATGGAACATGTAACATGTTTACAAAGGTTAACGTATCCCTTAAATTAGGTGTGAGGAGGCGACATTGTGCCCGGTGATCTTTGACTTCTCCCATGTTGTTCAGATAGATCTCCCACCTCTTTAAGGATGCCTACCCCTGATTTAGGAGAACAACTGGTGTCTAAATATACACACAGCTACTCCCCTGGTCCCAGGTTTATCTTGGGGTAACAGAATTGACCTAGAAAACATAATTGAGATGAACGACTCCCTTTGCTGCAATTGATCAGCCAGAGGATGGAAAACAGAATTGTCTGGTACCCCACACATTTACCACTCAATATTGCTGAATCATGGGATAAGAATTTCCCCAAAACGAGGGCACTGACAGCAAGCAATCAACTTTCTCTGACAAGGCTAACTAAGCTAAATAATCTGCTTGACTACTAGGAATCCATATGATGGCTGCACCACCTTATTAAGCAAACATAACATACTTTGGACAAACATGAGTACACAGACACAGACTAAACACAGATTTTACAGAGGCACAAAAAAAAAAAAAAAAAAGAAAAAAAAAAAGAAGTGGCACAATCACACAAATATAGACATACAGACTGTGAAATGTTCCTCAGTTTCTTAATCTCCTTTCACAAATCTCTCTCAGGATCATAGAATGCAAAACACTTTTTTTGTTATTAAGAACATATTAATAAGAGAATATATTTTAGAATTATTACTTACGATTTCATCCCCTGGTAACCAGTAACCCTCCTGTTCAATTCCAGCTTTTGACCCCTTGCACCCCACTGTTAGTGTTTCCACTATCAGTCCATCCTTAACCGCAAGACTAAGCTGCCTTGTTATCTCCTTTGGATGCATACCATGGACCCGGGTCATGTACCTGGTGAACACACAATAAAAAAAGCAAAGTTTTGGGTACACTATTTTCCTTCCATAATGAGCATCCCACAAAAATGCAGCATCCAGTATCCAAACTACAAAAAGTTGTAATAACCTAGTAAAGAGAATTGAAAGCTTTTGGTTCAGGGGAAAGGCGAAAAAAAAACCTCAGATATGCCCCATATATCTGTCCACATATTTTCTGTTTCAAGACATTTTATTCTTGAGTACAAATTACAAAGAAACAATACAGAAAATACTTAAAGTGTCACTAAACCTGCAACAGTAAAATCAGTCCACATATGCAGTAAGGCATGCTAAATCCATCCTTATTGTGTAAAAAGGTCCTTGGAAACACTCTGCACATGCTCAGCTTGGTGTTTATTGTTAGCGAGTTTCATTTTTTTTTTTTGGGGGGGGGGGGGGGGGGGGGGGGGGGGGGAGGGGTGCATGTGATCGGTACAGGGCCAATCAGCACTGTGCAGACAGAGGGGTCAGGGGTCATGATGCAGCCTCACTGACAGTTCAAAATAGTCACACCCTATATGTGCCCATTGGAAATTTTTAAATCGGAGTCCCTCCGACTTTGCGGCGTGGCGCCGATTTTGAAAAAAGTTTCCTGCACTATTTTTAGCGATTTAATGTGACTTGCATAGACATCTGGAGGATAAAGTCACACAAATGTCAGGCAAGCCGCACATGAAATCGAACTGACCAGCGGCTTTGAAATAATTTCAGATCTGCATTCAGTGTGAACCAGGGCTCAGAGGAGAGTGAAAACTCCTCCAAGATTAACCAGTGCTCAGCTGGACACTGATAGAAGTCACAAGACTGATATATACTGCTAAGAAAGGTATTTAGAAGTTTATATTTACTAAAATAATTGCATTTCCATGTTGTGTATACTGTGGGAGAACAGATATAGTGAATGCAGGGTGCTGGGTTTAGTAACACTTTGAGGTCTCCTGGAAATGTGGCTCACGATAAACATCTCTTAAGCCAAATAGTTTAATATAGATTTGTTAATATAGACGTTAATACAGCAGAAATACCTACTTCAGTTATTGCATAGCAGTAGATCAGATGATAGATGAAATCTAAGAGTTAATTGCAAGCAGAGGTGACTGAGCTCTCCCTGGTGTTTGCTGCCCCTAGTGGGGTCAAGGAGCTGTGATTGTGACCATCATTAACATTAAAATTAGAGCCCTTGCTGTGGATGCCATAGCCTAGCAAAGATCAGGAGCCATGACGGGCTTGGCGAGTTAACTAGGTTATTGCAGACCTTGTCAGCATAGATCTAGAACAGCAGGAACGAATGTTAAGGAGAAGAGTGGCGTAGGTAGGTGGACAGGAGGAGAAATATAGGGGGGAGAAGGGTTAGTTATAAGGTTGGACCAGCACAGCTGTCTTGGTTTTATGTTCTTCTACAGTAAGCAATGATCTATTAAAGTTCCAGGGAAAGTAATGTGTGATGCCTTGTGACCAGATCTTTTAAATTTGTTGATACGGTCATAAACATTTTAGGACATTAACATTAGGATTTCACTTTATACAGCTGTGGCCATAATTAGGAGAGCATTTTAATAAATTACCAGTATTGACCGAATGTGTCTACTGCAGTTCAAAGTGCTGTCCCAGATATGCTCTAAGGTCTCCATGTCAAACCTCCACGGCTTTTGGCCGCCTTCTTCTAAGCCCTTTAACCCAAAGCCTAATTCAAATTGTTAGCTCCACAGTGTACTAGTACAGACAAAAGCAAAACAAAGACACAAGTGGATAGCTTGCTGTTCATTTATAGATTTTAAATAATATTTCAAGTTCACTTGAAATTTAATTTTTTGTGGGTAAAACTGCAGAAGATCCTGTGCTGAAAGTTACGCTATCATACAGAATTGCACTTTAGACAGTTTCTGTTTGGAAATATCTTTCTCACAAAAAGCATCCTAAATCATTAGGTGTACAAAACATTGTTCACTTTACATATTCTTTACTTTTTGTCAAATGCCAAGACATTGGTCGCATTATTTCTGCTGAAGCAGAAGACCAGAATCGAGACCGAGCTCTTTTCGACAGCCAATCCATATGAAATTTATAACCCAACAAGAGTCTCTGCAAAAATGATATAAACACATTTAGGCTGCAGTGAAATAGTAAGTGCTCAAAGTCCCATTGTTAGCTTGTTAAAGCAGCTCCAGCTTCCCTAAATCAGCCTGTCTCCTGCCAGCAGAGCAATAGTCTGATATGCCCCCGCTGAGCCACTAAAACTTTGCAATCATGATTGGAATGCTGTACTTCTGATGCAGTGGAAAGGGGGGGGGGGGGGTATCACTGCTGTGAGAGTGCAGTGCTCCTCCTCTGCATCCTACTGGTGAGGGACAGGATGGGACTAATATGCACCTGTCCAATACAGTGGGTGCATGTTTACTGGTCAACTAGGCAGGCTGGAGTGTCCTAATGGCTTTTGGCCAGACTGCAGCTATACAGTCCAGGAAAGAGGTAAGTCTCTGTAACAAAATAAATTACATTATACCGTAGAAGAGGCTTTGTTAACGAATGTTTGGAGTAACAGGTCTGTTATGACATTTGTGCTAAGCAAGGACTGTAAATTTTAAAATGTTTAAAATAGGTTCACTGCAATAATTTTCTACCCAATATACAGGCATACTTTCAGTAAGAACAGTAGTGGAGGGGGTCTTACATTTTTACCCAAATGTCCACTAATATATGTTAAAAAGAAATAAAGCACAAGAAAAAATATGACACAAAAGAAACATGAAAGAACTTGGTCTCAGTCTTGATCAGCACTTTATAGTACAACAAAGGGAGCTAAAACACAGGTTTAACAGAATAGCGGAACAATCTAAAAGGTCCAGTTTAATGTAACTTGGAGCTCAGCACTCTAGAAAATCTCTGTTGGTTTTTCTAGACAAAAACTGAAATGTCTGCTCTGTATAATATGTCACCTCTATTATTACTGAAATTTACTGGATGACCTGTGAGAGGTAGAACACAAAGTGCTTTATTGTCTAACGGAGTTGAATTCAACTTTAATTAACTTCCTTCCATTGCCAGAGAAATATTTCAATTCTGAGGCTGAAACAAAGCTCTTGGGTAAAAAGTGATCAATAAACAAATTCCCATTTAACAGGATGGCTTGTCTTCAAGGCCTGCCTCACATTATATCTGTAGAGAAGGTAGCGAGTGATACTTGGTGCCAAAGGACTGCTCAACACTTTGCATCAACTGACACCTAACAATATAGCATCCTAACATCTCACAAAAAAATCCTACCACAAATTCCAATAAAGGACTTATTTACAAATGCAGCAATTTAAAGTGAAATGCTAGCCATAATGTTTCCCTTCTATTTTGGACGTAGAAGGGACGCTGAAGGAGCGTTGTGATAGGTAGGATGAGAGCCAGGAGAGAGCAGAGTCTCTGAGGCCAAGGGAGTGTAGTTTTTTGAGGAGGAGGGAGTGGTGGTTGACTGTCGAAAGCTGCGGAGAGGTCGAGGAGTAGGAGCACTGAATAGTGGCCATTAGCTTTGGCGGTTAGCAGGTCGTTAGTGAGTTTAAGTAAGGCAGTTTCGGTGGAGTGTAGGGGACGGAAGCCAGACTGTAGGGGGTCGAGGAGGTTGCTGTTGTTGAGGTGGGAGCTTAGGTGATTATAGACTTAGTGCTCTAGGAGTTTGGATGTACATGGCAGCAGGGAGATGGGTCTAAGGTTGTTCAGGTCAGAGGGGTCCAGGGAGGGCTTTTTGAGTATGGGAGTGATGTGCGCGTGCTTCAGAGGGGAGGGGAATGCGCCAGAAGAGTGGGAGAGATTAAAGATGTGGGTGAGGGAGCGTAGGATGGAGGAGGAGGGAGGTCATAGGAGTTGTGAGGGGACAGGGTCGAGGGGGCAGGTGGTGAGGCGGGATTCTGAGAAAAGCTTAGTGACCTCCTCGGTGGTAGTGAGGGTCAGAGGAGTGGAGTGTTGAGGGGGCTTCAGTGTGAGGGATGTTAGATGGGGTGGAGGTTTGAACAGCGGTGAGGCTAAGGGAGAGGGGTGTTGAAGGGGTTGCTGTGTGAGAGGAGATTGATGGGGAGGAGGTCTGGGCAGCGGCGATGTCCCTGCGAATTGTGTCAATCTTGTTTTTGAAGTGATTGGCAATCTCGATGGCGGTGAGTGAGGAGCTGGGTGGAGGTAGGGGCGGAGAGAGTAGAGAGTTGAAGGTAGAGAAGAGCCGGCGAGGATTGGAGGAGAAGGTATTGATAAGGGTCAGAAAGTAGGTTTGTTTGGCAGCATGGAGGGAGGAGGTGTAGCTGTGGAAAGCGGATTTATAGCGGGTGAACGCTAGTTGGGATCTGGTTTTGCGCCGTAGTCGCTCCAGTGCACGACTGCGTCGTTTGAGAGTTTTGGTATGATCAGTCTGCCAGGGCTGGAGCGGTCGGGGTCTGATGTTTCGTGTGGTTAAAGGCGCTAGCTAGTCAAGATCGGTTGACAGCGAGTTGTTATAGGCAGTCGGGGCAGGACAGGGGAAGGATGTGGTCATAGAGTTGATGAGCTGCAGAGTGGAGGGGGGCAGGGTTCAGGTTGCGGAGGTTTCGGCTGGTAGTAGTTTGACATTTGGAGGGGTAGGCGTTTGAGGACGAGGAGACAGAGAAGGTAATAAGGTTGTGGTCAGAGAGAGGGAAGGGGGTGTTTGTGAGGTTGTGGGGAGCGCAGAGATGGGAGAAGACAAGGTCCAGGATGTTCCCGTCGGAGTGGGTGGTGGATTGTATGCACTGTGCGAGTGCAAAAAAGAAGTGGAGGAGTTGGGATGTGGCCGGGTTGTTGATGTTGACAGGGATGTTGAAGTCTCCAAGGATGATAGTGGGCAGCTCGGAGGAGAGAAAGAAGGGTAGCCAGGCGAAAAAGTAATCAAGGAAGCGGGATACGGGTCTAGGAGGCCGGTAGATTACAGCAATACTCAGGGGGGTTGGGGAGAATAGTCGGATGCATGGAAGAGAAATGTCATAAGACCTGGGAAAGAAAATAATTTCTTTACACAAGAAAGGTAAAGGCTACAAGAAGATCAGCAAAGCTTAACTTATCTATCAGTCAGAATACTGTAGCAAAAGTGATACAAAAATATAACAAAGGTGTCCGTTTATGAACCAGCGGTAATAGATCGCTGCTCAGTTCTCCGGCATTCTCGGAGAACACAGTTCTCCTGTGAATGCAGTTTATGAAGCAGTTCTCCGAACGAAGGGAGAACGATCTCCAAACGCTGGAGAACGGTCTACAAACTCTGGAAAACGGCTGATTTTACTATAATCTCGCGAGATTACAGTAAAAGATCAGTTTACTAAACAGAGGTAAATTATCTCTGCTTAGTTTTCGGTCCCTCCGATTCTCCAGCTCTGGGCTGGAGAATCTGGAGGGAGAACACAGATCTCCAGAGAAGGGCTGAACATATTCTCCTGAGTGTTATAAACTGTGAATGACCAGAGAATAGCTGTGATCCTCTGAATCTCAGCTATTCTGTGTGTCATAAACGGACACCATAGATTGAACTACAACCATCTCACAGAGATGTCCAGGCCATCCACAGAAGTTAACACCTCGACAGGAGCGTCTTCTGATAAGAAGGGTTGAAGAAAATTGCCATGCAAGTTCACTGCAGTTAGCTAAAGAAGCAGAAAGCCAAACTGGGGTGATTATTTCCCGTGACACAGTACAGCATACACTGCAGAGGAATGACATGCATGGGTGTTGTCCACAAAATGAAGCCTCTCCTAAAGCCCATGCACAAAAAAGCCCGCCTAGAATTTGCCAGGGCCCATGCTGAAAAAGAAGACGATTACTGGGACTCTGTACTCTGGACTGATGAGAACAAGATAAAAGGTTTTTGGTACAGATGGATTCAAAACTTTATGGCTTTGCAAAGGTGAGGAGTGCACAGAAAAATGCATGGTGCCTACAGTGAAACATGGTGGTGGCAGTGTCCTTCTATGGGGCTGCATGAGTGCTGCTGGTGTCGAGAAGATGCATTTCATTGATGGTATCATGAATTCACAGATGTACTGCTCTATATTGAAAGAGAAGATGCTACCATCACTCCATGCCCTTGATCATTGTGCACTTTTCCAACATGATAATGATCAAAAACACACATCTAAGGCCACTGTTGCTTTTCTGAAGAAGAACAGGGTGAAAAGTGATTCAGTAGCCAAGTATGTCTCCTGATCTGAACCCAATCGAACACCTATGGGGAATTCTGAAGAGACAAGTTGAGCATCACTCTCCATCCAGCATCCAGGCTCTAAAAGAGGTCGTTCTTGAAGAATGGAAAAAGATAGATGTTGCAAAATGTCACCAACTTGTTCATCCCATGCCTGAAAGATTTGGTGCTATCCTTACAAATCATGGAGTTCATACAAAATACTAGATGTAGTAGTGTTTTTTTTTGGGGGGGGTATTCATTTTTGCATCAACTAATTTGAGTAAAACTGAAGATTTTGTAATCTAAGTTATATTATTAACCTTACTTTTATGTCATAAGCTAAACAAAAGGTTTCATAAAACTCAGCTTTGTCAAAATTGTGGAAATTGTTCTTGTGTTCATTGAGATATTGATTGACATCTTACTTTTCAAAAGGGGTATACTCATTTATACTGAGTACTGTATTTCAAAAAGCACTGTATATTAAATAAATGTATAACACCACCCAAATCTGAACAAAAAATACAATAATAAATTATTATTATATTACTTTTTTATTTTTTTAACAGTTAGGTGTTATTCAATACATAGTATTTATTTATGATTATTTTATTTGTCAACACCCTAACCAAAATATATATTAAAAAAAAGGAAGATAATAAATAAAATATTAACCTAAACCCAAACCCTAACCTTAACTCTAACCCCTTATGCTAACAAAATAATAATAATAATAAAAGAAATAAAAGCAGACGGAAAAGCTAAAAAGGCAGAAAAACCTAGCAAGGAGGAGGATATTTTTCTTCATTGTTGTTTTAAATGGGTATTAGCTTAGTTACATTCCCTGTAATGATGGGCTAACATGTTGTTGATGCAGTTTGTAGTGTCATGGTTGATTGATTTTAGTATGTCCATGTGTTGCTGCAGCTAGCCTGTCCCTATTTACCAGAGGGACAGGCAACTTCTTGTTCCTGGTCACACAGGTCCAATGCATGCCTACACTTTTCACCTGTGTTGCATCGCATGTGAGCGTGATAATGTCATAAAAACACACATATTCCAGTATGGTGAGGTCTCAGTAACTGCTTAGCCTGTTTGTGTCTGTCATATCCAATTAACACTTACAGTGGGGATCGAAAGTTTGGGCACCCCAGCTAAAAATTTGTATTAATGTGCATAAAGAAGCCAAGGAAAGATGGAAAAATCTCCAAAAGGCATCAAATTACAGATTAGACATTCTTATAATATGTCAACAAAAGTTAGATTTTATTTCCATCATTTACACTTTCAAAATAACAGAAAACAAAAAAATGGCGTCTGCAAAAGTTTGGGCACCCTGCAGAATTTATAGCATGCACTGCCCCCTTTGCAAAGCTGAGACCTGCCAGTGTCATGGATTGTTCTCAATCATCGTCTGGGAAGACCAGGTTATGTCAATCTCAAAGGTTTTAAATGCCCCAGACTCATCTGACCTTGCCCCAACAATCAGCACCATGGGTTCTTCTAAGCAGTTGTCTAGAAAACTGAAACTGAAAATAGTTGACGCTCACAAAGCTGGAGAAGGCTATAAGAAGATAGCAAAGCGTTTTCAGATGTCAATATACTCTGTTCGGAATGTAATTAAGAAATGGCAGTCATCAGGAACAGTGGAAGTTAAAGCAAGTTCTGGAAGACCAAGAAAAATATCAGACAGAACAGCTCGCAGGATTGTGAGAAAAACAATTCAAAACTCACGTTTGACTGCACGATCCCTCCAGAAAGATCTGGCAGACACTGGAGTTGTGGTACACTATTCCACTATAAAGAGATACTTGTACAAATATGGTCTTCATGGAAGAGTCATCAGAAGAAAACCTCTTCTATGTCCTCACCACAAAAAAATCATCGTTTGAACTTTGCAAATGAACATATAGACAAGCCTGATGCATTTTGGAAACAAGTTCTGTGGACCGATGAGGTTAAAATTGAACTTTTTGGCCAGAATGAGCAAAGAGGGATTACATCAAGAGGCGTAAACTGAAGGTTTTGCCATGGCCTTCACAATCTCCTGACCTCAACATAATTGAAAATCTATGGATAGACCTTAAAAGAGCAGTGCGTGACAGACAGCCCAGAAATCTCAAAGAACTGGAAGACTTTTGTAAGGAAGAATGGGCAAAGATACCTCAAACAGGAATTGAAAGACTCTTGGCTGGCTATAAAAAGCGTTTACAAGCTGTGATACTTGCCAAAGGGGGCAGTACAAGATATTAACTCTGCAGGGTGCCCAAACTTTTGCAGACGCCATTTTTTTGTTTTCTGTTATTTTGAAAGTGTAAATGATGGAAATAAAATCTAACTTTTGTTGACATATTATAAGAATGTCTAATCTGTAATTTGATGCCTTTTGGAGATTTTTCCATCTCTCCTTGACTTCTTTATGCACATTAATACAAATTTTTAGCTGGGGTGCCCAAACTTTCGATCCCCACTGTAGCTCTCACCTGCACCAGTGCTAGACTGAGGGATCCAGGGATTGCAGGAATGTAGTTTCATCACAAGAAATGTCAGTTCTCAGACTACAGATAGAGGCCATGCATTACCTGTGCAGTGACCTGCCACATGCATCAAGTTACAGGCCAAGAACTTACACCATGAAACTACATGAACAATGTCCAACTTATGCAGGTGAAAAACACGTCAGTATGAATGTTTCTAACGCCTTTAACTCAAAGAATGTGGTGAAGCCCTGGTGATTTCCAGCATCAAATAAAAAATACTTTTTTTTTTTTTTCCTTGCATGCAACTGGGTATTGTTTGCGAAGTGAATTTTCACCACAATCAAAGAGAAGGGATAATTCCCTTGCAAAATGAACAGGCTATTTTTCTTTATGTTCTGTTCAAACATCACCAACATACATGCAATCTTGTCTCATGTTCTGCAATAAAATTGATTTATAGCAATTTGATCAGTCCTCCGTTCCATTTTACCAGTTTAGTAGAATGTATGCAGAGCTATACTGCACCAACCAAAATGTACAGCTTCAAATTTCCTTTATATTAAAACATTTGTGAAAAGACTAAAGCCGGCCATAGACAAATCGAAATTTGTCCAGTTCAGCACTGGCTTATTAAGGACTGGCTTATTTTCGATCCATCTAAGGGCAGGCTAGTTGTACTGAAGTCGATCGATTGATGTATGTCAGTACAACCAGCTGGTTCATGGTTTTTTTTGGTACGATCACTGCTGGCGGCTGTATCCACCAGCAGTGATAACAGTTTTTCTGATGGTGGTGAAACCTCCCACTGTCAAAATACAGTAGCGCAGCAGGGGGAATTATAAAAAAAAAAGAAAAAAATGAGCAATCTTCTTTCCTTTAACCCGTGGTTTAAGGAAAGAAAACTGCATAACTGATGGCCAGTCTAATACTGGTGAAAACAATTTCACTGGCTACAAATGTTACTAATAGGTTAACTAAACCTACTAAAAGCATTTCTTAAACCTACTTGGTAATCCGATCAATATTGGCAATCTGCTTCTGGTTCCGGATCACTTCTATAGCGGTCCATAGGTACTGAATGACTTTTGTGTCTGCTTGTCGCCTCTTTGTTAGACGCGCCATGGTCTTCTCAGGTTTCATCAGGCTACAAAACAGTGAAGCCAAAAGAACACAGTAAGAAGGTATTCTAATAGAGCCCTTTATAAAAATACATCAGGGGGCATTTATGAATGCAGTTGTGCACTATATTCAAGGATAAAATATATTAGGAGACTTCAGAAGCCCAAATATGTATAGTCTGGCACAAAATGGTCATTTTGGCGTTGGGTGTGGCTGGCACTATCCCTAAAGCCTCCAAGCAATTTGTTTACCCTCTTAGATGAAATCTACATTATTATATTGGTTGCCTTCAAAATCTCATTAGGAGGTAAACAAATTCTTTGGATTTATAAGTCTGCAGGAAAGAAAGGAAAGGGGAGAGACGATTTAAACCTTTAAATACATCAAGGGTATGAATACGGTTCAGGAGAGCAGTATATACAATATGAAGCCAAGATCAATCTTAGAAAGTAATATTTTACTGAAAGTGTAGTTGATTCTTTGAATAGACTTCCAGCAGAGGTAGTGAGCCAGTCAACATTATGAAGATTCAAACATAGATTTTACATTTTTCTTTCACACCATGCCAATGTGTGCAAATCAGTCGCAGTTCATATTCTACCCTTTTCATCTAAAATTATTGCAAGTGCCATCCCACTTCCTGTTTTGTGATAGTCTGTGACCAATATTTGACTATCTCCTGACTTTGCACATTTGTTGTAAGTGTTTGTAAACTAGATAGCATAATAAACCACTTGCCCTCCAGAGGATTTAAGATCCCTTCCTGACCAGGCCATTTTTTTGCATTACGGCATTGCATTACGGACAATTGCGTGGTCATGCAACGTTGCACACAAATTAAATTTGTGTCCTCCCCCCCACACACACAAATAGAGCTTTCTTTTGGTGGTATTTGATCACCTGTGAGATTTATACTTTTTGAGCTATGAAAAAAAAAAAAAAAAAAAAAAAGAAGGGCCGACAATTTTGTTTACATACAGTTTCTCTCCCCCGTTGGTATTACTCAGCGATCACCGGGGTGTCGGCGAGTAATCACTGTCAAGGACCCGGTGATTGACAGCCAAAGCCACGAATGGCGGTGCGGGTAGGGCACGCGTGGATCACGCTCTCCCCCTACACAGAAATGCAAAATCATGTATAAATACACGTGATTTTGCAGAACTTGTGTTATATATATATTCAGTTAAGAAAATTTCAGTTACAAAAAGTTCCTGCATTAATTAACATACTGTAGCTACTTTGCTATCATGAAAGCAATGGCTGTAGCTGGGAGGGGTGAAAGGACTATCAACATGAAAGTTGTAAGCATGTGTTGGGATCACCCAAAAACAAGAAAGCATCCATGGAAATATTTAGAGTCTTTGTAATGTTACTTGTATCTATGCCTTCTTCGCTGTGAAAAATGTTTATCTGCAATGGGCTTAAGAATCTGCAGTTTTGCAAAACAGGCATGCCATTCCTCTTCCTTCCTCTGTGTTTGGCAAATCAGCTGACACCTCTCATGCTTCTTCTCAAATGGCCTGACCTCCATTAGAGCGGTATTAAACCCAAAAGCAAAAATGCAATACATTGCAGCTTACCAATCATTAGAAGAGGTGACTGCATTTGTTTTCTTTTTTTTTAGGCCTCCCCCCTCTGTTTTAACCTGGTGATCTGGCCAGTAACACAACTCCTGTATTAGAGTGAAAATATAGAACAGCGCTATCCCACCCCCAATGCAAGCACGTGCTAATCTATCATAAACGGCATCATAAATATAACAAAAAATAATATAACATGAAACCCCCTTATATAACCAATTTCCAAAACTGAATGTGCAAAATATAATAAAGTGTTATATGTGCAATAAATAATCAAATCATGCAAATCATAAAGTTACTGATAATTAAATTGTGTGCTCCAAAATCAAAAAAGTCAACCATGAATATTAAATAAGCTCCGTGTGTCTTCTTCTTATCATGCACCACCATAAACAATGTGTGTTCCACCAAATAAACTAGATAAACTCACCAGAACTCCAGGCATGGTGAGGTCATATCCAAGCCCCCGCCCAGCGATTTTTCACTTTTCTTCCTGGTTCAAGTATCCATGTGAGTTAACTACGAGGCAGTCAGCAGAGGGATTTGAGAGACAGATCAACTCCTGGCTGTGGTGTTTTCTGAAGGGTGCTTGAGAGGAGGAGAGATTTTTTTCCCGTAGATCCCTTACTCCCAGAGTCCATGCATTCTCAGCTGGTTTATAACATTACCAGCCTGGAGTTTTGGTAAGTTCATCCAATTTATTGGGTGGTAAAAAAAGACACATTGTTTATGGTGGTGCATGATAAGACACACGGAGCTTGTTATTTAATATTCCTGGTGGACATTTTTTTATGTTGAGTACGCAATTTAATTATCACAGTGACTTTATGATTTGGCATGATTTGATAATTTATTGCACATATAGCACTTTATTATATTTTGCACATTAAATTTTGGAAATTGTTTATATAATGGGGATTCATGTTATATAATTTGTTATATATTTATGATGCCATTTATGCTATAATAGCACACACACACACACACACACACACACACACACACACACACACACACACACACACACACACACACACACACACGCACACACACACACACACACACACACACACACACACACACACACACACACACACACACACACACACACAAAAGAGGTTGCTTGCTTGAGTTGGGGGTGGGATAGCGCTGTTCTCTATTTTTCACGCATGTTTGTTTGGGAGATCGCCAAAAAGAATTTAGCTGCTTTCCTCTTAAGGATCCCCAGTAGGAATCTGTGGCGCAGTCCGATATTGTTCCCTTCCGTATTAGAGTGCCCCCACTTTGGATGAAGGAGCACAGAAGATCCTTAGGACAGCAGCACTGTCAGTCTGGGGGAAGGGAGGAGTCCTAGAAGCACTGGCAGATTTAACTGCACTAACAAATGTATGCTAAACTCCAGCTAATATTTTATAAGCAATTAAAGAAACAGATTTGTTCCTTTTGGAATAAAGGTTTTACATAAATAAAAGTTGGTCATTGTAAGCACCCCTGTCAGTGGTAAATGGTTTTTCTCATCCTTGTAACAACTAGATCTGCAAGAGATCCTGTTCTTATGAAATACAAGAGGCTTGCTGGCGAGACTACTAGGTGGAAATATAAGTTAAAAACAGAAAACTAATGGAGCCATCACATCTAGGAATTGTTAAGCTGCAATACAATAAATGTTTGCTTGTGGGTTTAATATGGCTTCAACCATTTGCTGCCTGCCCACAGTATATTTACTGGGGAAAAAAAAACCCTGATTACACCCCCACCCGCCCAGAGTAGTACAGTGTTACCATGGTGACACTGAACTACTCTGATGAAAATATGTAAAGTAAGAAAAGAAAAAAAAAAAACACTTTAAAAGAAAAAAATACCAGTTACACTTACCAGTAACGGTGTTTCTAGGAAATCTTCCAGGACGGCACACCTGAGAGATGACTAGCTCCACCTGACAGGAAATACAATCAACAAGACAGTTTAAATTCCCTGCCCTTCCCCTCACTCCTCAGTTATACAAGGGTATCCCATACCCTAGTTCACAAAGGACATTTTCACCAAAATAGCCAAACAAACAAAAAGGGTGAGAAGTAGGCCTGCCATCCTGGAAGATTTCCTAGAAAGTTACCAGTATGTGTAACTTTTATTTTTCCACAGCCATCTTCCAGGATGGTACACCTGAAACGAGAAACAAGATGCTCATGCCTACCTTAGGGCGGAACCACTATCTGTAATACTCTTCTGCCGAACACCAGGTTCTGAGGTGACAAATCTGTAGTGTCTCCCGAAGGTGTCCTGGCTTGTCCATGTGGCTGCTCGGCAGATCTGTTCCATCAATGCTCCAGCCCTCTCTGCCCAAGAGGTTGCCAGAGGAGTGAGCCTTCAGGTGTAAGGGAACCGACACTCCTGACTGCTCATAGGCTATTGAAATGGCTTGTCTAATCTATCCAGCCACTGTTGGCGTGAAGCCTGTTCTTTCCTTGAACCACAAAATAAAACTAAAAGATAGTTTGATTTCCTGAATTCTCTTATTCTATTTAAACGTGTCAGTAGACACCATCTGAAATATAAAAAATTAAAACTTTTCCTTCTCATTCCTAAGGTTTTCACAAAATGAGGGTAAAACAATTTGTGACCTTTGGAACTGCGTGGCCATCTTTGGTAAATAAAGTAGATCCTGCCTTAGCATAACCCTGTCTGCCAATACTAAAAGGAAAGGCCCCTTGATCAACAGGTTCTGTAGATCGCCTATCCTCCTAGCTATAGTGATGGTTAAAAGCTAGACTAACTTAAAAGGACAAAAATCTAACAGAAATTTGTGCCACTGGCTCAAAGGGTGGCTTCGTTAAAGCCTCCAAAACTAAAGATAAATCCCAAGGCGATAACCTGCTTATCTTAATGGGGGTCATTCTTTCCCAGGCCACAAGGAACCTCTTAAAGGGTTCCAACGCGAGCCTCTAGTCAAGAAAGACCAATAAGGCCACCACCTGAACTTTGATAGTGTTCAAAGCTATCCCCTTATCCACTCCTGCTAGCAGGAAATCCAAGACTACAGGAACCATGGGAAAGTAGGCCCCTCTATTCTGACACCAACTAGAAAAAAAAACTCGTCAAACTTTGGCATGCATTTTTCTAGTGATGGCTTTCCTACTAAGGAGAGTTTCAGTTACCCTCTCAGAGCACCATCTTTTTCTAAGGATCTTCCTATCAAGAGCCAGGCTGTCAGGTGAAAAAAAAAAATCCTAGACTGAGGTGTAGGACTGGCTCCTGCAAGCGCAGATCTTGCCTGGCTGAGAGATGCTGTGGGGGAAGACACTGATCACCTCTTCAAGGTGGCGAGCCAGGCTCGCCTTGGCCACCAAAGGGCTGCTAAGATCAGTCTGCACCGACTGGCTAAACTTCTGCAGCACCCACGGGACAAAGGTCCTGCTCCCATCA